GGGGGAGGGTCGTCGCGACGCCCGTGCCAGTCCCCACAGACGGGACCGCGGGGGGAGGGGAGCCCCCGCAGGTCCCAGCCAATGGAGGCGTCGCTGGCCCCACCTTCGCCGTCCTGTACGGGGGACCGCGCCGGAGCACCCCTGGGGGAGGCGACGCTCCGGACCTCCCCGGACGCAACGCTACGTCGCTCGTCTCGCTCACCCCCGTTCAAGGGAGAGGGAGCCTTCTAGAGGTGGCCTCCGAGAAAGGGAGGGTCGCTTGTTTGTAGTGCAGTGACGGGGAGGTCGGGGACGGTCCCCGAGCAGACTGCGCACGCGCCGCGCCGGAGGAATCAGCTGGAGGAGGGGGGTTTGGTGAAGAGCAGGGTGGGGAGCGTGGGGGGCGCCAGTGAAGAGCGGGAGGGGAGGGGCCAGGAAGGACCGTAGGAGGCGACAACAAAAGAGGGTTGTTGATAGACAGACATCAGCGGCGGGGTGAAGAGCGATATGGCTCGGCCATTCAGACGGGCCCTTCTCGCCTTCGCCACCTGATGGATTCCTGAGGAGGCACTTCCCTTCACAATCCAGCTCGCTTTTCAGGAATATTGATTCAAGCCGGAGGAGGGCATTGCGGGCGGGGAAGGCCACCGTAAAAGGACAAACGCCAAATAAAAATGTTGAGTTTTACAACCCCTTACATATTGAAGTTGAAGAGGTTTGCAGCAGATTGGAGGCGGGTACTTTAAAACTGTGTCAGGTGTCGGGATGCACAGGGTGCAGCGCAGCGGTTTCACCGGTTTCACCCGAGGGGACGCCTCAGGCGCCGGGAGCCTTTACAGGGGTGCCTCTGCGATTCATGGGCAGGATAAGGCAGAGGACTGCGAGAATGCCCTCCGGGCACGCGAGCGAGCGACGCTTCGCCGGAGACGATGGATCACAGCGATGTCCCCCGAAAGTGCGGAGGGAATGGAAAACGGGAAGAGTGGCGTTGTTCAGGTACATACTCCGCAAACGGAAAATACATCAAAGTGGAAATGGAATCCAAAATAGAGTCCCGGTTCACACAGGGCGATTTGTAGTTGTTTCCTACCACATTAATCTACAACCCTCCCCTGGCGTTGTCATTCGAATATTATTAAAACCATGAGATTATTGATAAAAGAATAAGCAGGCTTAGCATTTGTACGGAAAAATTCGCTATCAACAATTCCAACAAGGATCCGGACAAACTGCCAGCACATTCAGAAAGCAGCCCTCGGCAGGTACTTGCCCAAGCATCTATGCACGTGTCCATGATGCCGCATACGTCGGCGAAGCCGACGCCCGGGATGTCCTTGCTCATGGTGTCCTAGTGCTGGTCCCGGTGGCGGTGGTGATGGTCTCGCCGCTGCCGCTGCGGCTCGACGCGGTACGTGGGCACGCGGCAGGACGGGGCGCCGCCGCAGGACGCCGGCGGAGGCGCCGTCGGCCAGCGGGGCGGCGTCGGGACGCTCCTCCTGGCGAGGACGCCACCGGGACCGGGGCGCCGCGGCGCAGGGTGACGCATGGGCCGTGGCGCACGCCTAGCGCACGCCGTGCACTCGCGGCGGGGGGACTCGTGCGAATAACGAGCAAGGGGCGACGCGACCCGCGCCACCTGCGCCCCTCGTCCCGCCCCGCGGGGCGTCCCCCGCCGTCGCGACGCACTCGGCCTCCTCCTGCTGGCAGGACGGGCAGGTCGCGCCCCTCCTCCCCGCCCGCAGCGGGCGACAATAGTGCCGCGAAGTGCCACCCCGCCCGGCTGCGCAGTAGGCGGGCCCGGCTGTGCGGGCTGTGCATGCCCGCCTCACGCCCGGCTCGGGTCAGATCGCCACTACGACTTGGGCCCCAGGGCCCTGGGCGTCCCTGCCGTGCAGCGCTGAGTGTCACTCGGCACGCCCCTCGCCCCGCCACACCGCCACACCGCCCCGCCGCCGGGCCGCCGGGCCGCCGGGCCGGGGGGCGAATGCATGTCAATTCCAGCGCAGAATACAGTTTCAGTTTGGACATCCCAATTCTCCATCGTGCCACGACTTGGAAGAGGGGGTCGGGGT